CTCCAGTTGCCGACAAACGTATAACAGAGATTGGTTTCTTTCGGACATCGAGGAAGCGGGACCAGAGATTCTGACCTCTTTCGGCGCACGGATTGCATTGCTTCTTCTTCTTGTAACAAGTGAGACACAAACCACAGGCTTTCTCACCTTTGATTTTTTTTCCAACAAGAGGGGAATGATTTGTCATGAAAAGGCATCTGAAATCATGCTTCAGAGTGGATCGAAGCTCCAGGGGCAGCAGTGTTCTTACACCAAAACACTTGGAACACCCAAGGATCATGGCTCTTGCCTGAATGACAAAAGGAAAAAAAAAACAGATCCAAGCAGAAAACCCAATGAGGCAGACTGTAAATTTAGGGTTTGACTGAAAACTCGAAACAGAGAAGACCCACCTGTTCGATCAGCTTGTCCATACGTTTGGCTCTGTCCCATCCATTTTGCTTCTTCTCGGTCTTGGAGGCTGATATCTCAGTAACTGTCCATCAGGAGAAGCCGTATTCTGATTCTCGACAGCCCCTTCTTGCTTCAGCCTCCGCTTCCATTGAACGCCCATTGCTAAACAAACACCGTATATCAGATTGATTCCTGTAGCAAATGAGATGGATGAAGAAATGGTGAGTCAAAATTTACCGCGTACTCTCTCACCTTTGATTTTACCATGCCTTTATCGACATATTTTACAACAAAGTGGATTAGAAACTGCATATGTCAAATGAAGCCAGACTGTCTCGAATTCTCTTACCACCGAGTAGTCCAGGTTCGGTTTCAGGGCTTGAGACACTCTCTCTGCAGATGTCAAATATGTTTCAAGGCCTGTGTCGGTCGACCCATGTTTTCCAGGGGGATTGCCACTGCTGAAACAGTGCCCAAACAAACAAACAAAGGCATACAGGATTTATGACATTGAAAACAGAGGAAGTGAAACTGTGCCCAAACAAACAAACAAAAAAAGACACAGAATTTATGATATTGAAAACAGAGGAAGTGAAACATAGAGATAATTTACCTGGATAGCTT